CCTCTTCTGCATTTATTGAAGAAATTTACATGATAAAAATATATTATTTTTTAAAAATAATGTGTTTATATTTTCAGATAAAGCTGGAAGCCCTACTTTTTTAAATTTTAATAAAAACAATTAGTATTACTCAAGCTGAATATTACCAGATCGAAATTTTATTTGATAAAATGTATCTGGTAAACGTGACAACGTTGTAAGTACTTCTAAATAGTGTTGTCTACACACACTTCTAGAAATAAATGCAACGTTGCCACGTTTATCAGATAAATATTGCAAATCAAATTTCTACTTTTTGATTATGGTCTGGTTAATTTTCAGCCTGAGTAATGATAATTGTTTTAATTAAAAAGTAAAAAATAAGCTCCCAGCTTTAAATCTGAAAATATAAGTTCATGATTTTTAAAAAAATAATGGAATTTTACTATTTAAATTACATATATAAATGCAGAAATGCTATATTAGGGATACTTCCGACAACCTCGCCGTCTTTAAGCATAACCGATACGAGACGTGAACGGAATTAGGGATTTTCTGACGCAATGAGTCACTGAAAGAATTTTATGGGAATTCCCTTACTTCTAGTAAAAATATCTTAACGGGAAAAGTACCATCAGACAAAAGAGTTTAATATCTTTATAAATATATAATTAATTCACATTCAAAAATGAAAGTGAACGGGCCCATTCAATTCTCTGATAAGTTAATAGAGGAAATTCGGACTGATAAACCTGATAACAGACTGATTTATGTAAACGTCATTATTGAAGTTTAAAGTAATAGTATTTTGGTAGTATGGAAACAGGTAATTTAGATGACTTTAATATTTTTTTAAGTTCTTCTTCAGAAGATAGTGACGATCAAATTAGACGACCAAGAATTAGAAAGTATTGTTCTGTTCCTAAAGTGGCGCTGGGAAACAGTAACAAAGCCTACACAGAACACGAGGCTAATGGCCGTAGTAGTCGACGCCGATGACACCAAATAAAAAAAAATAATATGATGTATTAATTGAATGATGTTCAGTTAAAAAAAAATAACATGAAAGATAATGTGGAGTCATTATCCAACACGTTGCCATGGTTTGTTTGAAGCAGTAAATAGGCTCGTAAGCATTTTTAAGTTGGACGGCAGTCCTCAATTCACTGGTTGCAGTTGAATTGTATTCCCATGTTAATTTTTCCAACTTATTAAATACATTGATTTTGTATTTTCTAATATTTCAAAATACTTTTGAACAAGTGTAATTAGTATCTCTTTTTCATTAATCTGTAAAATTGGAAAAACGTTTTCGTTTTATGACCATTTAAAAACAAAACAAAAACCAGTAAACAAGTAAAAACTTTCTGAAATTAAATCCATTTCTTAAAATTCACAGTATGACTTTAGCATCGAAGGATAGTTAGACTTTGGTATGATAGTAATATTTGTGGTGAAGTTAACCACTACAGATCAGTACCAACCATAGACATCATATCTTTGGTACCAACATAATTGTTGGTTAGTTAACTATAAGTTAACTATTATTGGTTTGTTTGATGGTGAATAGCAAATGTTTTTATCACACTATTAAGTATTATCAGTTTGTTAGTTATTAGAAAATGGTAAATACGACTGTAATTCACGATTTGGTATATTAATTTATTTATTTATTCCTATTTTTATTTTCCGAATGATCTTAATATTTTTCTTGTTAGTATCTATCGAAGAGAAATCAAGGCAAAAATATATTAGTGTCAGCGGATCTATAATTGTTATACAGGGTGTCATTTTGAAAACATTACATTCTTAATATCTTCCTTACAGTATATAATTTTCGAGCATATATAATTTATAGAGTCCGCATTCAACAGCGTTTGTTTGGGTTAAGAGGGTAAATGTGTAGACACTATTACCAGTGTCGCATCATTTTTACAGGGTTTGCAATTAATATAAATAATAAATTTGATACATATACCTTCTTCTTTAAATTATGCACATATTTTATAAACTTGCATTATTTAAGTAGGTATCTAGTAATAGTAAATTATTATTAATATTATTAATATTCGTGTTGAACACATCAGATTTTCTTAATTCAAACATCAGAAAGTGTATAACGGAAAAATGAAGGTTGAAATAATAGGCAAGACACAAGATAAAAAGCTTATATTTAAATATCAAAAATATAAATAAATAGTAGGTATATTATACAAATATTTATGATATATATTAAGACACGTGTACGAGAATTACAATGCAAGAATTTTTTCCAATAATTTATTAAATATAAAAATATTGTTCGTAAATAATGTCTGACTTAAGTTCTTGATAAAACACTTGAAGGGTACTTTATATTATTTTCGTATTGTGCGTATCGTAGGTACCACAAAACACTAGAAATATGAGCACATGTGCCATGTGCCTATAGTTCTTGCACCAGTCTAACATGTACAGTAATACCCAGTTATGGGGTCCTCTTGAATTTTATTATACTCTATAAATAACATGTGCTTTACATTATTCGTAAATCTTGAATATATTCGATACCGCAATAATGTACCTATGTTCAAATTATTCACACTGAAAACAAATTCTTTTTACAGGGGTGTAAATAGCTAATCAATAAGAAATGTCTAGAATTAAATATCAATATTTAGAACGGAAAGTTTTTTAATAAATGACTACTGCGAAAACTGTCTAAGATGGTATTATTTTAACTAAACTTAACGTACTAAATCTACAAAAATAGAAAAAAGTGGTAGACTGACATCTGTACTGTATATAAGAATCGGGAATTACTTTTTAATTAGAATATCTATTCTAAATCATTTATTTAACTGGGATGTAGTAATAGTATTTCGAAATTAAAGAAGACGTAGAACAGGATTCGGTTATAGAGAATATAATACAAACAAAATTAATTTTGCTTCAAGATTCTTTCTAGAATATTTTAGGAAGGTATACCAAGTTTTTGCGCTTAATGTGTTTTTTGTAATTATTAGTTGTTTATACAGTTCTGTCACACCCTGTATTACTTATAAAAATAATCCAGTGCTACATGAAACAAAAAAATGGTCATAAGACTTATTTTAGCTATAGTAATACATGAAAAATGTACCTTATTTTAGTAACTGATATTCCTAATTTTTTGAACATTGTATAATTTATTTTACAAAGTGCAAGTAAGCATTAACAAACTATGAACAAGTGTAAGGCGTGCCGTAAGTTTCATGGTAAAGATATATGTGAAAATATTAATTCTGCACTTCATACTTTTGACTCCTTCTAACAGCTCACCCTGTAGAGCTGCAAACTTGAGGTCCATAAGAAATTTTCCGTTAACGACCTGAAAAATAACATACTAAAATTTGAACAAATTCTGTCAGTACCCAAAATCAATGTAAAAAGTGCGGGGTCCTTTATGTTGTAATAAAAAGTACTTAGTTACTTACATGTTTTCTAATTCTGCATTTTCTTTTTCTGCAACAAAGGCTTCATGGTTCAGACCATCACTGAAAAATTACAAATTTAGAACGATTAACCCACAAGAAAAGTGCAGAGTTCTTTACCTTTTAGATTCATCTTCTTCTGGTGCCTCAGTAAATCCTGATGGCAATGCACCTGGAATTAATCTGTTTTTCCTCCGCATCTAGTCTTTGACATAAAATATATCCAGAAAAATGATTGGAACATAAAACATCACTATTGATTTAACATCTTCAACATTATCATGATAAAATGACTTAAAAACGAAAAGCTTGTTTATATTGAAAAATTATGATTAATTTTTTTTAACTTTTGAGCAGAGTCCAAAATCTAAAACAATATTCCTCATACATAATACAAGTTCTTTAAGTTTAATTCACTAAATTTACCATTTATTTTAAATTCATGTTTATAAAATACAAAAATAAGAAGAAATGAATGAAAATCAAAAATCAAAAATCAAATGACAGTTCTGACAATATGGAACAATTTGACATGCCAAGCAAAACGAAACAGACCAATGAGAATGCTGGACACTATTTTTCTCCCCTGTACCAAAACAAAGTCCATTTGGACGATGGCTCTAGTAATATATGCTCGAAGTATAAAATATGAAAAATCGGTAAGATATTTCAATGTTATTTTCAAAGAGGACACCTACAATGAATACTTTTAACACTCGTGGCTCAACCACCTAGGAGGGGTATATGTTACCCCTAAAATCTTAAATGGGAAGGGGGTTAAGTAGTACATCATATTAATGGAAGTTTTATGGAGAATTCAGCAATATGACTATTATTTGCGTTATTTTTGTTCTTAGCGCTTTCAAGCGGGATACAAATCTTTTACATGTCATAAAGTGTGAAACTCCATTTGAAATCTAATTTTATTACTAATTCAATGGACGACTATATAACATTAATATAAATATCTATATATTTCACTTGTAACAAAATAAATTATCAATAATGCAAACAATGACTAATTTTTAAACAATTGCAAGAGCAATATGAAGATGATTAATGTTATGTAGTCCATTAAATTAGTAATAAAATTTTTCAAATGAAGTGTTACACTTTGTAATATATAACATTTTTGTATCCCGCTAGACGGCGCTAAAATTAAAAATTACTCAATAAATAATCATAATGCAGAATTCTTCATAAAATTACCTTTAAAATGATGTGTTACTCAACCTTCTTCCTATTTAAGATTCTAAGGGTAACATCTAGGGGTTGAACCACGGTGGCTAAAAATATTCATTGAAAGTGTTTCCCTTGAAAATAAAATTTACTTGCCCTACCGATTTTTCATATTGCCTACTTACTGCAAGGAGGAAATTAAGGGTGTAATGTTTTCAAAGTATGAAGTGTGTTTCAATGTCACTAGTTAGAAGCTTCCTGTAAAATGTTAACAGTAACATTCTCCGTTCGGATGATTGCTTATTTACTAATGCCTTATTTATTTATAATATTTTGTGGTTTATCTCTTTTCTCATATTCCTATAAATCTTTTTACAAAGTACCTATAAGAACTTTCTTGAAAGATGTATTTCCAATTTTTATTTAATTATTTGTGGGAATTTATGAAATCTCGTAATTTTTGTTTTTATTGTTGTTTTCCTTATTAGGTTTAATTCCATCTATTTCATTTCTTATTACCTAAATATGTATATCTAAATGGGAGATAGTATATCAATTTTGAAGACAGTTACAGTCTTCTTCGTCTATCCCTTTACCTTTAAAGTATCCGGCGCTGTTTATTTAATCGATGACACCCTCTATTTTTCGTTTCCATGGTAAACTGATTGTTTGTCAGTGTTGAGATATATAATAATCCGTGATGATAATTGTAACGAAATTAAAACATGGATGCTGAAACAGAAACTGAAAAATATTTAATTAAAAGAACAAATGAAGATGGAGAAAACGACCAAGAAGAGTTCTCTTTCTTTAACCTCCTAGACCAGCCCAGAGTTCTTCCGGAACCAGTAAATTTAACGTTTCAACATTTAAAAGATGTCGGCTACGATTTGGGATTAATAGATTTATGTTGGCCGGAAGAAATCAAGCCAATTTTTGAAAATCGCACAGACTTTCCCATAAAATACATAACCCACACTGAGAAAGAAAGAGTCCTATTAGTGTATACTAAAAATTTCAGGAAGAAGTTTATTCGTAAGTACCCCAATAGAAAACCATTATTTTTAGTGAGGGATAACGAATGTGGGGTGTTGAAAATGGTCTGCACTACCGTCAAGCCTACAGCTTTGCCTTATCCTGTGTTCGAAATGTGGGACACTTGTGCCGACTTTATAGGCGATCATATAAAATTCGAAACACTTGAAAGTAAACCGTTGCTTTTACCGAATCATTTATACTCACCGCATACTACATTATTGCGCCAAAGTGGTACTTCCTTCGAAATTTCTACAGTTTTATGCTCCATTCTCATTGGCGTAGGCTACGATGCATACGTAGTCTCAGGCTACGCCGACAGGGATATTGCTCTAAGAATTATGGTTCGAGTAGACTGTCCCTTCCCGCCTTTTAAGGAAGAAGAGGAAAAACCACCCGAAAAATCTAAAATCGAAAAATATGCCATTAAACCTCCCAATGATTATAAAAGCAAGTTTTTGATGATGATGGAACAGAGAGAACGCGATAAATTATTTAAGCAGGACCTACAAGCTGCAGAGAGAGAAAGATTGAGGTTATTGGAAGAAGAAAAACCGCCATTCGATGAACTAGATGGTCAAAGAATCCACGCTTGGGTTCTAATCAAGGCCGGTTTTAAGGGAATAAAGGAACATTTTTTCATCGAGTCCACCACAGGAAGACCTTATTCGCTTAACACAACCAAGTACTTCGGTATCGAAAGCGTTTGGAATCATCAAAATTACTGGGTGAATATACAAGACTGTTCTAAAGGTCTCGATACAATTGATTACACTTTAACAAATAATGAGAAATGGATCCATCTTCTAGCAGGCGAACCGTTTGAACTCCGAATACAAAAAGAGAAAGATCTAGGTGATGATGATACCAGTAGAGATATGTTTGTAGAAAAACATTTGGACATGCCCCAACCTTGGCCGTTAAGGCTTTATGTATCGCATGAACGTTTACAGGGACGTTTTCCAGATGGAGGTTGCAGAGTAACGAATTACAAGCGTGTTTTAGTGGAACAGTTCGCACCTTTCGCATCTCCCGATGGCTTAACTAAACGACTTACCAGGTAAAAATTTATTTTATACGCGTTGATGATGTTTTATTTTTGGGTGTACAAATGGTATCAGACACCACTTTACTTTGTAATTTCATATATTCTTTTGTTTTATTAGTGTGCTCTATGTAGGCCTTGTTACTGTTTGCCAGGGACAATTTGGGAACAGCACTGTAAATTAGAACCTAACGGTGAATAGTTGAGTAAGGAATCCTACCAATGCATCAGAATTCATTTTAAATAATTTAAATGAGAGTGTACACACCAAAAATTAGAGCAACCTCGCACCAAACATTTGTAATAACATCGATTGACATCCACTTAACAATCGCCTCTCGGTCATCGATCTTCGAGGCATCTTCGGTATATACACACGCTAATAGTACATGTAAAAATAAAGGAAACAAAGACCGTCCAACAGAAACGTCGAGCGACCGTTTCTCTCCTAAAAAGAACCACTCCTTTGGTTGATACCGAACAGGTATTGATTTATATCAAAAAACAAAAACAGCAGACAGAAAATATTTTTTACGTTCTAACTTTTACTTTATTTACTGAGGAGAATGTCAATCTTGGCCCGGTTTCGTCCTTATTAGGACTCATCGGCAAATAATATATATTCTGCGTCATATAACGCTATCTAGCGTTACTTATATAGTTGTTTTTTTTTTATTTAAAGTGTTTTTGGCTATCTCGTAAACCTTTTCTAAATTAAATAATGCACTTTACGTAAATGTATAGTTGGAGGTGAAGATATTCTTTTTCTTTCGGTATAATAAAGGGACTCGTATATAGACCGCATAGAAACCTGCAACCGAAGCCCAGGGGCGGACCTAATTAGTTGTATGTGACCCTTTAATTTAAGATTATTGTATATTTCAAGTGGAATGGTATACGTATTTAAAAATTATCACATTATTCGCATTAATCCGAAATAAATATTGGCGACTTGTAGTCAAAATCGCCATCAAACTATATTATTTTCATCTACTATTTATTTAAGTATTTAAATATTACATTGAATATTAAAAATCAATGTAGGATATTACGAAAAATGCTTGAACAACCGTTATTTGCACCCTCTTATTATAAAAAATTTAAATTATTTTGGAAAGTATTAGTCTACCTTTAATTTCTAAAGTGATTAAAGCACGCAAGCCTTCTCACCACGTCAAGGTTACATTTCTAGAGGAGGAAAACAGGAACAATATCATGTTCCTCTTCAAAATAACATGAACCAACAGATACGTGGTTACGTTTAATAAAGTAAAAATATAAAGAAAATGGAAAATCAAATCTTATCAGAACTATCATCTTCATTTGACGTGTCACTCAGGTTTATAATGCAAAAATAAGCCAAAAATACTATATGGTTATTTTCAACATGAAACATAATTTGACCATAATTCTTGAGATATACCTTCAACAACTTCTCTGATAACATCTAAAACGCGTTCAGAGAACGCAGGATTAACATTTTTTTTCTGACCTCCCTTTGATGTTACTCCAAATTATTTATATTGCGTTAAATGTACAATAAAACGACGGTAAGCGTATTATACCTATTGCCTGGAAAGCTGATTTTTCGAGATGAGAACTGCTGGTTTAGTCTGGCTATCGGCTATCATGCAAAATTAAATGTACTCATTAATTAAAAATAAATAACAAATAAAAAAACATGTAACGGCACTACTCGTTAAACTCAGTATCACCTTCAAATAAACCATTCAATATCGGTCAGATTCATGCTCTACCTTATTTATACAGTGATACCTTCCAAGAGCGGGACTAGTTTTATAAGTGGTTATAACCTTTATAGGTATTGTAATGTTGGCCAAACCCTTAACATGATCCGAATAAACTCTCACCCCTCTGAGAGAACCAAGCATGGTTCTATAGGTTCGAGAGCTCATCGCAAACCACACCTGCCTTGACCAACGGGTTTATAAGTTTCGCCTTTTTACTATTTCTTGTTTGTTGAGTAACCTCGAACTCCTTCGAAGCCTCAATCAGACACATCTGCCTCGTCTATAATCTTAGAGATCAAAGTCGCCACCTTGACTCACTAAGCAGGTGTCATTACCTAATGCTTCGCCTGGCTTTGGGTTCTCACCCACCTTTATCGCCTCGCCTTCACTTGTCACCCTAAAGTTTTTCTTAAATTTATTCATTACGGTCCATTTTAGAGAAATGATGTACATGACATTTGAAGAATTTTCTTCAACAATAACAAATAACACAAAAATTTCGTTGTAGTAAAAAAACGACCACCTATAAATTGACTCAGAAAAGAAATGTCACAGTTATTTCGATCTGTCGACATAAAATGGGAAAGTTTTGGCAGTTTTCTATACAAATATTTGGAATAAGCTAATCCAAGAGGGAAGCTAATTATGGTACAAATAATAATAGGAACGTTCTCACCCGTATCTCTCGATGATTTCGCAAAAGAATTCCTAGGTGCCATGGTGATGAAATGAATATTAATTTACTACGATGTTGCCTGGTACAGTTTTTGAAGTCCGTATCGACTTTAAAAACCATCACAGCTAAGGGAACAGACACATAATTTAGGTGTGGATGCATCAAATTTCTATGTTAATTCATAATATTTTTGAGCATCAGGAACTGCTGAGTGGCCAGCTCTTATACTTGACCCTGTTGTTCAGGAACAGACTCACAAACCCCGGCAATTTTTTTCTTATCTGTCGCTATACCAACTTCGTCACTTGAAGATCGTATGATGTTGCGTTCTAAATTGGCAAAAACGCCTAAGAAAAAAAAATTACACGAGGCAGCTAACAACATTTTGAAAAATTACTTTAATATATAGGAAAACACTGAATGGACACCAGAAACGAAAACAAAATACCAAGAACCTGCAGACAAAGAATTCGAACGACGTGAAAACGAAAACACAGAATGGACAACAGAAAAGAAATCAAAATACCAAGAACCCAAGTACAAAGAATTCGAACGACATGAAACCGAAAATACTAAATGGACACCAGAAAAGAAAGCAAAATACCAAGAAGAAAACGCTGAATGGATACCAGAAAATAAAAACAAGAACAGACGAACAAAAAAATCGAACGTCATAAAAATTAAAACACTGAATGGGCACTTGAACCAGCATTAAAGGAATAGCTCTTAGATAGTTTTTCAGAAACCAAAAACTCAGATACCTGGCTCCTTAGAGGTGCCAACTACTTTTTGAAGGCAGGAATACAAACACCAAGAGACAAGTATTTCCCTCGTAAGAGTACTTGCAGTGTTTTTGGGAATTTGTGAAGAAAAGACCATGAATAGAAATTGACACAGGAAAAGAAAACAAAATAACAAAAACCTGCAGACAAAGAATTCGAACGATGTGAAAACGAAAACACAGAATGGAAACCAGAAAAGAAATCAAAATACCAAGAACCCAAGGACAAAGAATTAGAACGACATAAAACAGAAAATTCTAAATGGACACCAGAAAAGAAAGAAAAATACCAAGCGCAGAAAGACAAAAAATTCGAACGACATAAAGAAGGAAACGCTGAATGGATACCAGAAAATAAAAACAAATATCAAGAACAGACGGGAAAATCACCAGAGAAGAAAACAAAATACCAAGAACAGGCGAACAAACAAATGAATCGACATTAAAATGAAAACCCTGAATGGGTACTTAAATCAGAATTAAAGGAACGGCTCTTAGACAGTTTTTCATAAACCAAAAACTCAGATACCTGGCTCCTTAGAGGTGCCAACTCTTTTTTGAAGGCAGAATTACAAACACCAAGAGACAAGTATTTCCCCTCGTAAGAGTACTTGCACTGTTTTTGAGATATGAAAATAAAGTCTATATGCCAAGGCAAGGGGGATTGGAACACAAGGGTAGACAAAGATTTCAATTGAGAAATGGGCTGTGGGAATTTGTGAAGAAAATAACATGGTCAGAAATTGGACTCCAGACGATAGACTTTTGTAAGAAAAGAAAGCGAAATACCAAGAACCGACGGACAAAGGATTCGAATTGCCTGTATGTTTAGCGATAAATCTTTACCACCTTGTCCAATTTTTATGATTATTTTTTGTTAGTAAGGGGGTACCTCAGGGGTGGTATCATATACATTTGGTCAAAATCTAATAATTGGGTCCATGATAAAATCCTCAAACTCTTCATTTTATAAATATGTTTAGCGATAATTCTTTACCACCTTGTCCGATTTCTATGATTATTTTTTTGTTAGTAAGGGTGTACCTCAGTCCCATATAAATTTGGTTAATATGTGGTGACGGTATCTGCACAATTTTAAGTCGGTTTTTTAAAATTATTTTTGATACTTATTGCAGCAAAGTTTACGGTTCTTAATATTATGCGAAAGTCTAAAAATCACAAATTTGTGGGTTGCTTCCTTTCTGCAGAAATCCGTCAAACTAAGAGGTATTTTACTATCAAAAATAAATAATATTCAAATTATCTTGGCATGTATACCTGGACACTCTGATGTCTTAGGGAATTTAAAAGCTGGCCAACTTGCCAATATAGGTAGAATTCGAAACACTCCAGCGAATGTCAAACTGCATTATTCCAATATTCACCCATTTATTAAGCAGCAGATTTGGGCTAATGGTCAAATGAATTTAAACTTAAAAATCAAAAAAAAAGTTCTTTTTACTCCAAAGTTGTTCCGCAGGTACCAAAGTCTCCATGGTTTAATAAGTTTGGCTTAATTACTACAAGACATTTAACTAATATCATTAGAATCAGAACCGGACATTGTTTAACGCCATATCACTTCTTTTGAGTTGGGGTCAAAGAAGATCTATTTTGTGAATGTGGTCAAGTTGGATCCCTTAATCATATTTTTTTTAGAGTGCCTGATTAATCAAACCCCAACATTTAATATGTACAGTGAATTGGCTAAAACTGGTTTACCTGCGCCTTTTAATATTTGTACTATTCTTTATAACCTCAACGAATTAAATTTTAAACTGTTAATTAAGTTTTTATAGTTATTTATGCAACAAATTCGTGAAATTGTCCAACGAGGCCTTCAGGTCGAGTTAGACAACACGTCGAGTGCAATAAACACTTTTTGCACGAGTTGCATAAAATATTTTTTCTACTTTCATGCAAAAACCAAAAAATGTTTTATTTAGGCGACACTAACTGCAAAAGAATAACAAGCGTAATTAAATAGCAAAATATTTAATAATTAGCATCAATTAACATTGAAAAAGTATCATAACTATGTTAAGAAAAATAATTTAAACAAAACTTTAGGAACAGTTGTGTTGAACAATAATTAAGCTTAAACGTTGTTTTTTCCACTAATATTAAAAGTAAATGTACAATTTGTACAATTTGGACTAAATATTTGGTGTGATCATAAAACGCTGTAGTAAAATGACAGATGAGTACAATAAAAATTTTATTGCACTAGTGCAATAAAGAACCAGTTTTTTCACTAAATATAGTTCAATAAAGTTTTGTTTTTGCATGAACGTAGAAAAAACATTTTTAAAATTAATTTGTGATACCTTATGTTGAACTTCTGTTAAAATCATTTACATCGGTAAACACTAATATTAACTTTTGTGAATGGTTTTCCGGAATCTAATGAGTTGTCTGGGTAAATTGTTCTTCAGAACACAGCCCAATAAAAGAATGAAGAAGAAGCAGACATCAAAAAGGAAAAACGGTCCTCATATATGCAACCAAGAATACATGTTCTAATAACATTGACTACAGTAGAATACCACAATTGTAGATAGTGAACCACAATTGTAGATAGTGACTCATGTTGTAAAGAAATTTTATAATCCAGTCAAATTAGACTTTTACCCAATACAAAAAAAGTTATTTTTAATAGTTGTTGATTTTTTGAATACCGACAAAAGGAAAAATATTCAGTATTAATTAATAAACAAATTAGTGGGGTATTGCAAAATTTATTTAATCTCTTACAAATTTACAAAAACCTTCTTCTTCTACTAAAGCCATTTTCTTCTACTCACTCTTCAAAGAATATACGTACAGGTAGTTTCAAAAAAATTGAGAATATCGCTATCTTTATAAATTTTTTGAATAGCTAATCCTTTTTTTTTTATTATTTACCTCTAGAACAGATATCATTTTGTTGAAATAATTTTAAAAATTTGACTGGTCTATTTTTAAACTTCAAACGTCATCCAAGCGATTGGTAAAATGGAACGTTGCCAGCGTGTAGGTTGCATCTTTATCTAACGGTAGATAATGTCCGAGATCCACACTGTCGTCGCAGATTAAAGCGACATTATTGGCAACAACGCTTGGATGTTATCGTTGAAGCGCTAATAGGGATTTCATCAGCAGAGACCGCAATTGTTTTCAGATATTCTTAAAATCGAACCAGGATCTGTTATTGTTATGGATAACGCTCCATACCACAGCCGACGTGCAGAACCAAATGAAGAAAAGCCCAGATTGCAGACTGACTTACTAAGAAAAATATTAAATTCAATAAACCAATTTTAAAAATCGAGTTACTATACCTAGCACGGTGTCATAAAGATAAATATGTCAAATATGTATTAGATGTTGAACTATTATTACTATTACTATCATCTCAAAAGACTATTATAGTTTATAACAGGGATATATAAAAAATATACGAGCCCTGTCTCAGTAAAGTTGGCCCAACCCCATAAAACATTTCAGGGAAAATTAAAATTTTGTTTAAAATATAATATTTTTGGTTTTTTTAAATGTTTATGGGAATATAATAAGACCAGCGTGGCTATTTTTAAACAGTTTTTATTTCGAAATTTTTATTTGTAAAATGATTTGTGTTTGACAAAATGCATGATGGAGACAACTTAAGTTGAATAGTCGGTTTATCGGCTTCAATAAAATCAAGGCAGGCTTTGTATAACAAATGATAATATTTGACTTTGCTAAAAAGTCGATTTTGACCTTAGATAAAAGAGACCAGAGATATAACATACACCGGTGTTTAACCTGCGCAAATGTTGCCAATTTCTAAAGAAAGGTTAACGGAGTGGGGGAACTGGGCAGGGACTCGAACTCTGTGACAGGGACCGGACTTTGTTTATTAGCATCATAATGAACTATTAGATTTATTTAAAATATACGTTTAATGGAATTTTGTATTATGAAATAAATTTAACGTGATTTTTTAATATCAAACAGATGCCATGACATTGTATGTAAAGAGAAGACCTTTAGTAGAATATTTCGTTAGCTATTATTTACTATGGACTTTTCTGTAAGAGACTACAGTAAAATGTTGAAATAGAATATTGTTAATCGAGTAAGAAATGGTACTCATTGTCTAAGAGTATTATAAAAAAGCATGTGCGCAGGCGAATACTGCAAATCAAATCTTGTGAGTTGAACATTATATTTTTTCTACGACTATCACATAATATTAAAATTTAGTCAAAATGAGAAAATGCTGTTTTGTATTATAACCTCAGAAAAATATATATTAAAGCTTGTTTCTTTAGGAATATTAATTAATATAGAGGATGCGTCACATAAAACTCTAGAAATGTATATGTCTGAATCCGGATAACATTTTAAAATTTAAACCTATTAAAAGTCATTTGGTCGCTAGGAGTGGGTGATTATCGAAATAAATTATTGATCATTAATAATAATCGATTATTTTCGATCAATTGATTATTTTCAAACAATCTATTTTTGTTCGTATTTCCTTTAAAATTGACTACTTGATTATCTTTAAAAAATAAAAAAAAATAAATTAATTAAAAAGCCAATTAACCGATAAATCAGTGTTTACAAAAAATAATAACCGAATTATCGTTTATTTTAAATAATCGATTATTTTTAATTTCTATTTTTTTTTTCGTATTTCCATCGATAATCTTTGAAAAATCTAAAATAATCGAATTATCAAAAATAATCGATTAATTAAAAAGTCGAATAATCGATAAATCGATTTTTCAAAAAAAAAAAAGAATTATTTCCTTTAAAATCAATTATTCGATCATTTTTGAAACATCGAAAATAATCGATTAACGGAAAATAACCAATTAATTAAGAAGATTATACGATAAATCGATTTTCCAAAAAAAAAACTGAATAATTAATGATTATTTACAAATAATTCTTTTCTTTTTTTATATTCCTTTTAAAACTGATTATTTAATTTTCTTTGAAAAATCGAAAATAATTGATTAATAAAAAGCTGATTTACCGATAAATCAATAATTCTAAAAAATAACCGAAATATCGGTTATATAATATAACCGATTATATTCGATCAATCGATTATTTTTATATAATCTATTTTTTGTATTCTAAAACAAATTATTTGAATACCTTTAAAAAATCTAAAATAATCGATTAATCGAAAATAATCTATTAAAGATAATCGATTAATTATAACGGATAAATCGATTTTCATGAAAACGATAAATCGATATTTTTGTAACCCCTATCGGTCGCATGCTTTTATCAGAGCATTTAGCTCCAAAATTTAGAGATTCGGATTTATTGATCCTGTTATCTTTGAAACCGCATTCGATTGTATAATAAATATTGCTAGAATTTAGATTTTTTTAGTAAACGAAGATATTTTTCGAGTTGTTTAGGGGTTTATAATGTAACATTTTACTAATATTATGACTAATTTCCGTAACTTTAGTATTTTTTGCTTATACTAGATCATATTGCGCGTTTTACTTTGTTTTAAGATTCAAATGTCACTTCTGATTTAACCGCAAATAAAATAAACCTTGAAATTTTAAGTAGGTGAACCTGTATTTCATCTAATATTCTTGTAAAAATATCTAATAAAGGGCTAAAAACCACTTTTAGTAAATATTCTTATAAAACTACTTTTTAAAAACAAAATTTCGTTAGTAACAATGCCTATTTACTTCTTATTTAGACTAAATATTTATTGAAACCCCTTAATGCGGATCTGAAGTATTCAGCTCAAAAAATCATGGCGACTTTATGTCAAAACGTCAACAAATATTTACCGCTGAAAACGAATATATTTCTTATTTTTCATAACATTGACACATATTATTTGTATATACAATTTTTCACCATACATCGTGGCATTTTCAACTTGAAATTGAATAACTAAAACACTTTAAATTGCTAATAACACCAACAAATAATTTAAAAACGGCGGTCCATAAATGATTTACTCACGCGGAGACAAGCAAAGAATAGAAATTTCGGAGCAATTCGGGTGGCGTCGTGAACACTATGATTTTTAATTGGTGGGTTACTTAGGTTTGGAATAGACAACATGCGCAATGTGCAATGTTACATCTCCGGTCTCTTTTATCTAAGATTTTGACGTTTTAATTAACTTTCGTACATTGGTGTTGTTTTTAACAACTAAAAATGGCTCGTGTTAAAAGGTGTTTCTGACGAAATAAGGAAAGTGATAATTCACTCGCATTTGAAAGGCCAAACTTCTTCCCAAATCGCTGAGAGAGTTAATAAATCGACATATATTATTAAACTGTACAAAACAACTGGATATGTGGCTCAAAAACCGGGAACTGGAAATTATCCACAATATTCCAATGCCAACTTAAGAGCTTTAAAAAGGATTAAAATTGAGATTTAAACCATTATGTTGTGGTAATCGTTTCTTTACTATTTTTTTTTTTTTTTTTCAGATACAGAGACTTCGCTTGCACAGATCCATTTCTTATCGAAGAGGAATACGAATATCGAAAAGACAAATTCTGCAGAAGTATATATGATTTTTCAACTGATATTCTCACAAACTATTTCAGTACCGGGCGAGACGACGCCATCATTAAGCATGTTTTCACCAAGGGTTGTTACGCTGTTGAGGCGCATCGCGTGCTTTTCTTTAAACATACTAATAGAGCTGATTATCTTCAAAAAATGGAAATAGAAGAGGACAAAGTAATAGAACACTTTAAGGAAAGAACAGACAAACTGATATTTAGACAAATTAATTACTTAAAGGAAGAAGAAGAAAAGAAAACAAAGCAAGGTTACAAACGTTTCATTTTAACGATGATACAAAAGTACGAACGAGATGATACCAAACCGTCTCATGAAGACATAGCCATTAGAGAGTTTGCTTTGGTTGACCGAGAAATTAGACTCAAATACCATTATGGACCAAATAATATCACTGCATCTACTAGAGTTTTTATAAAGCCTTCAGTCACTGAATGGGGAGAAGATCTGGAATTTAACTCAGACCTAACCTATGGTTATCAAGCTGAAGTTGGTGTTAAACTTCCTCGCCAAGTGGAACTTTTTAAAATGTTCCATTATCATCTTAAGGAAGAACACGCGTGTTTAATTAGTTTTAGACAGATTGAAAAGTACTTGGCAGATTTTTTGACGTCAAGAGTTAAGGAATTGACTGAACCACAATTAGACGTTCCCATTTTCAATAGGGAACAAAACAGTCAATACAGAGAGCAAATGCTCGAAAAAGAAGCGAAGAAGAAAATATGCCAGCAGAAAGAATGTTTCGAAGCTGTGGATTATCTTGCACCGTACATTGTTAAGTATCGTCGACCGTTAACCTTTCAACAGGCCAAAACAGCTAAAAATGAATGCCTTAAAGAATATAAGGAGTTAATGGTTGACAGAGCTAACAATTTATACAAGCAGTATGAGAACCTGGATGCTAAACTGCGTTCGATGAAAAGTTATTATGCCGCTGAACGTAGCAACTTATCAGAAAGTGAAGAAACTGAATATTATAGAGAAGTCACGCAACTGGTTGATACCATGAAAGCAATTCAAATACGTACAGATAGACACAAGCAGTTAGCTTCTATTAGAATTAAGCAAGTGGAGAATTATTTGAATAGTCATCCACTTTTACAAATATTACGGCAGCGTTCAAAGAAGTAATTGGACGGATGCTCAACAATTAATTGTTTCTCGTAATATATGCTAATAAAAATAATTAGTTGTACTTCTTAATTCTGAATAATAGCTTACACGGGGATTTTCGTCTAGTGAAAATGGTGGTATTTGGAAAGAATATTTAACAATATAAACAGAACTTTTATAATATTTACTTTGTTTCCGTGAGATGAAGTCGATTCTTTATATATACAAGGTATATTTGAACAACCAAAACGATTTTTGACAAAATTCACATTGACGTTTCACATAAATCATGGATATGTTACCTCTGGAAATAAATCGCAATTTCAAATCCAATGGAGGACAGCTTATTTTGATTAGTGAGTGTTAGATAAAAAGAGGATGTCATTGGTATATGTATATAGTGTTAAATAAAGTACCGTTATACTGGTTTACTTAGGCCACTGGAGTAACAAAGGCCATTTCGAAAAGAAAGTTTAAAATGCTGATATTGTCAACCTGTTAGGCGGTTGCACGTTTGTTTTGTTGCATGACTTGGAAATTAAACAAAGTTTTCACCAGTGGTCATTAAATCCTTTGAGTTTCTAAAAGTAAGCTTGTAAATATTTTATTTTAGGATTACTTTTATTAAAATTTAATGACCATAACTTTAATATGGTATAATCGTTATTCAGCATAACCTCAAACAATACTTCGACACAATGTTGCCAGTCTAGTACAATTGTACTAGATCTAGTACATTTTCTAAGAATTTGGTACACTCAAAGAAAAATCTAGTATCTTTTTATTTTTCAGCGTGTTATCATTTGACGCGTGTAAAATTTATTTTTGAGATCTTGCTCCCTGTTTTGCTTTCGTTCGCTAAAAACCATTTTTTTTTCCTAATGAACCAAACCACATCACAATAATTCATTCGAAAATCTGGTACATTTTACAAAATCTAGTACATTTTTATGTAATCTGGTACATTTTTTAGGCAAATCTGGTACATAACAAATATATTCTCGCAACACTGCTTCGACACTTCGAGCAGTGACTACTAGAGAGATGCTTCCCCTCTCCCTTGCGATAAATTTTGTAATTTACATCTACTCCCCGAGGGGGGAAATGTCAATGTTTGGTTTGTATTTTACGAAAAATATAATTATTTATAGCTTTGTAAGGGTTGTAAATGTATAGGTATTTAAGATTTATTATTTCTAATAAAATGGCGAAATTATGCTTTATGTGTAAAAGACCTATTGAAAATGCTTCTTCAAGATTATTTCACAAGTAAGTACAAATACAACCTAATTATCACTGGCGCTGCATTAGGCAATCACCTTTAACTTGCAATTAAACTTTCCTATTTTCTTGTCGCCGAAAAAGTAAAATCAAGAGGAAATAAACCCCAGCCAAGTTCGCCTTCTTGCGTCTCATGATTACAGTAAAGGTTAATTACTTGACAAAGAAAATTTAAACCTGTGACTTTATTTTAATATCACATCTTGGTAAAGTTTATTGTTATTTTTTTATTTCAGGTTTCCATTTCTTGATACGCTGAATTCAACAAGTCGACACCCGAATAACTTTTATGCTAATGATGATTTTTATTACAGACCCCAGGGAAGGAAAATATTTAAAAAAATGCAATTTCAGTAAATTCCGACAAGAGAAGTATAATAATCAATGCTGATGGCTACTACCTCATCATACTCATCTGCTACTAAGATTATAAAACAGCAAGTGAAGCAGAGAAACTTAAGTTTCTTTCAAAAAGATTGTTTTTACACTAATAGTACCTACCTAAGTAGGTAAATTGTGAATTTTTTATTTTATGTGCATTCAGATACTGATTTCTATCCATTCTATCAAGAAGTTATATTTCACTATCAACAGGATCACCAAGAAGTAAAAGGTAATTGAGATTTCAAATTTTTTATGTGTAAGGAAAAAGGCAATGCCACTTTTTTGTTAGCAATTTTTTTTTTTTTTAACTGTAATTTAATCGACTAATTTTGTGTATTGTTTAAATTTTTATATTATGTACTTAATTAATTTTAGGTTTAAACAAAACCCAAAAACATAAGTTAGTCTTCGTGCCCGAAATATAAAGATATAGGCATAAATATTTGGATTTTATGAGTGATTTTTATTCTATAAATAGAACGGTAATTTGCTTCTGAATCACTAATAAACTATATTATGTAATAACAAACTATAAACAAAAATATCACATTATTGTTACGCTGTACCCTGCAACGTGCTGCGGTCGTCATAAGTAAAGGTACGAGAGTACGAATAAATGAAGAAGATAAAATAGTCCAGAAATGTATCGAAATATCATTCCTTGTCAAAGAAAAATCCTGATTGTTCGAGAAGGTTCTAGAAGGTTGAGGCGAGCTATATAAGTCGACGACCTGACGTCAGAAATCAGTTTTATGATAGACGTTATGCGTTAATGTTATCAGTTGTATCGTTATCGTAAAAGTTGAGTTGAAATAAATTGAGATACCAGAAACCTGCGTAACATTGGTGACAGCGGTGGGATATATAAAGTAAAAGTTTCTCAAGCATTGTAGTCATGGTAAATTAGCGGATTGGTGTAAAAAATGTGACCTTTGTAATGGCAGAAAAGGGCCCAAAACAAGAAGTCGAGGTAAAATGGCATATTACCTTTCCGGAGAACCTTTCGAACGAATCGCCATAGATATCCTCGGACCGCTTCCCTTAACAGAGAGGGGAAACACATACTTGATGGTTGTTATGGACTATTTCTCAAAGTGGCGGAAGCATTTTTGACGCACGTCATTGCGAGACACGGAGCTCCCCTAGAATTGCATTCTGACCAAGGACGAAAAACTATTTGATACGCCCATGGAAATGATAACTGTTCAAACAAAGCCTACGTTAAACAGCGTCCGTAACTTAGCTATATTTCATTTGTTTATCTGAGCATTTCATATTATATTTGCATTTGTCTAGTTTGGACCTTGCCAAATATACAATTTAAGGTTTGTTCCAACACAATAGTAAATCGGTTTACGTACTGTCAGGATTCTGTACAGTCTGGATTTGGAGTTACAACAAACTTCGGACTCAAAACTGTATAAAAACGTAGTATTTCAATACACCCAAACCTAATCACAAACCAGTTTCTGTACTGTCAAATCAGTTTCTGGGTCTGAATATGAACGAATTGTCAAGACATGCGCAAAACGAAAATAAGCTTGTAAATAAACCACGACCAACTCTGGAAATTTTGTGATTATATTTGTTTTAATAGCATAGATCGTAGTCTCGATTCAAGGATTATATACTTTTATCGATTGTAATTTAAGTTTCATTCATTATAAATTATAATAATTATTTATAGTCTATTATTTTAATAATGATGAGTAATTTAACATTTGCTAAATTTGTTTTAACTTTGACGTTATTGACAAAGTGTGTCTGACAACAGAAAAATGTATTCCAACACATCCAAGTTCCGAATTCAGTCCCAATCCTCGACAGGTCCTCGATTGTGAGTCGTCGACAATAAGTTGTGGACTGGTTTATGTATGGTTCCAAGATTGTTTTTGGAACAAACCTTTAGTCAAATAAATTGTTGCCATATTCCTCCAGTTTACTGGTTAGTAGATTTTAGTATTTTTTCTTAATAGATTTATGTCGGTATTTTTAGTAGATTTGTCCATTATTCTTAGTAGATTTTGTAGTACCGTCAAAAAATTAGGTAAATAATATCCTTCCACTACTGGCCATCCAAAATTTAAAATTAAAACTTAAAATCCACGAGCCGACACTGCAATCGCTAGAGGTGAACAATAAGTTCATGCAACCCAACAAACACTTTAATAAGGAGTCAACGGTTGCCTACGAGTAGAAAACGTTTAATATTTTTAAACCGTTTGGCGTTATCAAAGGGTACGAGAGGTGATAATTTTGTTGTTTCTTTGGAAATATGCGTCTAAATTTCACGAAACAAAATCCTCCTCAGTTGAGTGGTATTTCGGTTTTTTTGAGGATTTGTTGCATTAAATTTGCATAATTTGTAAAAACACAGCGAAAAGTTCTAAAAATAAAATTCTAACCCCATGGTATTTGGAAAGATTATTTAACAATGTAAAAATCTTTTCTAAACAACGTTTTTTGTTTTCGTAAGATGAAGTCGAAAGTGATCTCAATTATTTATTTAGATTGTATATTTGAACAATCCAAAATGATTTTTGTCCGTTTTTCGTCACTCTTTTGACAAACTTCTCATTGTCGTTTTGCGACATATTCAGACACTGCACATCTAAGCACTGCACCATTCAGTGTTTTCGCTAGATCGTCTTTATTGGAGTGTGTATTGAATTAAAAGAGGATTGTTATTGGTTGACGTATTATAGTGTTAAATAATTAAGGGTAATATATTACACAAGAGGTGCCAATTTTTTGAGAAATTTTTCCTTGGAACTTTGCATAATTTATGAGGAAACAACAAATTGTCAAAAAAAATCTCATCTCGTGTGGTATTTGGAAAGATTATTTAACAATATAAATATAACTTTTAGGAACAACTTAACGTTAATTTTATATTAAATTAATATTTGAACAACCAAAACGATTTATATCCACTTTTCGTCATCTTTTTGATTAACTTCACATAAATCATTGATACGTTACTCTGGTAATACATTGCTTTTGTTTCGAGTTGTTTGAGGCTATTAAAACATTATATTTTAGTTAACGAAATACATTTAAAAAAAAATTGTTTAAAAATTTTTTATTTGCACTGTAAATTACAAAAATATAAAATATACAGGGTGATCCTATTAAAAAATCAAACAGTAAGATTTCCTGTGAAAGCGAGTCAGTAATTTCGCTAAAGCATAAATGTCAATTCCAATTTCCACTTAAGAATCATAAAACTTAAGTAGTTTGTGATCAATCAGCTGAAAAGGGTTTTTAATGCAAAAAAATACTTCATCATATACACAATTAAAAAACATAAAAGTCAATAAAGAATTAAACCTGACTTTTATTTAAGCTATACAGTGAGCATCTTAAGTCTTACCCCCTAAGTAACTCGTTACTGGAGTCTTGTTAGGAAAATCACCGAGACAGGTCGATTTTTAATTTCTACAATGTACATTTTTGCATGATTAGTTAACCCTTAATTTCATCCCTTACTGGAGGGTAAAAACCCTTTCGAAAAATTTAAATGGCATGGGGTGGTGAGT